TCTCGAGGACATCAGCTCGTGGGTAAAGTCTTGTGATTTGGTGGAACTTTCTCAGGGTTACTCTGTACCGAGTGTGTGATAATGCTTGATGGTGCTTTGTGCATGGCTCTGAGCAGGAGCGATATTGTAAAGTTGAGGATCTTGAAATTGACCGTTGGTGAGGCTGTGGGCGATTACACAACGCAATCACAGCAGTACAAACGAAGATTACGTCCTACAGTAAATTAGGATTGCGTACTCTGTACTGTTGTGACTTTCAGGCTTTGTTTTCCGGCTGTAAGTTCCAGGAACCCCGGAATTTCCACACGGCCATACCCGCACACCATGCCGCACATAATACACTTGATGAATTGAAGCTGCGCCCTCCGGATTGAATGCTGTATAGGTCATTTCCATATGTTGGCTGAACTTGGCTGTTGGCGTGTTTATACATTTGTAGAAGTACAGTACAGGCAGCTCTTCGGGTAAGGGCATAACAGATTACATAATAAGCGTCAGCAATTCCTTTTCCAGATATTCTTGCGAATTTCTGCATACCAAAGTTTGGTGGCGAGCTTATACAACCATGACAGCTAGATCAACAAATGTTGTTGTTGGTACATACCAGGGTCCTAATTCCCTGTCAGTGGAAAGGTGCCGCTGTTGATGTAAATCAACTTTAATGATTGACAGATGGAGGGGTTACACATAGCAGTTGTGCATACAGTTGCAGATATGACATCCAATCGCAAAGCTTTTAAGCTTTCGATTGGATGGTATAGGATGAGTTGGTTAAGGGTTCTTTGGTCTTAAACGTGTGAGCATATCACAATTGGTATGAATAGACAGGTGTTTTTTTCAATTCTGAAGGCCGTCAAGTCTTAGAACCCGTCCGTGCAAGATAATTCCCCGATGAACCATTTGGCATGCTTTAGTTTGCATATATTTGTTTCTTTTGCCAAACATGCAACCGTTCGAAGTTTCGTTGGAAATTCCTATTCTGGAAACATCAGCGATTTCCATGACACCCGTTGCAAAGTTTGAAGTGATGACACTTTGCACTATGGGACCCATGACTCCCGCTGCCATTTGGGTAGCATCCTCGAAAATCCTTGGATACTCTTTTCTTGCCGTGACACTGAGGGTTGCTTGGATCTAGGTTGTTTGAGATCTCTGGTCGTTTCATGGGCTCGAGGGGCGGCTCATGGCCCCTCCACGCTAAATTGTGGCTTAGATGCTTCGAACCAAATAAAGCACAAGATGCTGCAAGTAAGGAAATCCGGAGGACAGGAAGCATGACAACCTAACCTAAAGCACGAGAAGTCGGTTAATTTTCCATGGCAATTTGCACTTTCACTGCTTTGACTTCTACTTTCCGAAAATACTGGGAGGGATCAGTACGAATTTCCATAAACATGGTGTCTCGGAAAGACGACACTCGCAAGATTGTACAAATATTACAATCATGGTATATTTCATCTGAACTTGCCATGTCATTTCCAGCCGTGGCTAAGTAAGTATCTCTAGCATACCAGAATCATGAGAAGGATGGCTGCAGTATGTTATGATCACATGTCTTACTTACTGTTGTTCACCATACTGATAGCAAACAGAAGAAGATTTCCAGGAAATGATTCGCTTAGTACTTTGTATACATTCTCCAAAAATTGCAAGTTATACGGCCAGGTGCAGGTACATCAAGCATGGGTATATAAATTGATAACTGCATTGTAACAAAACCCCACAGATCATCACGATTGAAGGGACTTTGTGTAGTATAGCCCAACACGACCACAGAAACCTCTGTAATATCGAATTAATAAATCTCACAAAATTAAGTGACTAGTCTAAACGTCTGACTATGCATGTTACCCAACCATAACGATATCTATCTCGATTCGTAACGTCGATGACGGTGCCGTACGAAGGTCTTCGTATAAGTTCAACCAGTCGTGTGCGCTGCATGCTTGCTGTAGCATCAAACCTGCCAACCGATATGTAAAAGAGCTGAAGTATCCGGGCCTTACAATATGTCATGTCCATGCCCCAAGCCATAACCGAGCCCCGCGATCTCGGAGAGCTCGGGGGTTAAGTTTGAAATTTGGTGGCTAAATTTTCCTACTCCCTACCTAGGTATCCTCAAGAATCCCATTGAAAAATGCCATTTGAGATTTCCTTGCGAAGATCGTGTCACTTGTCAGATAGTTTCAAGATTCACATTTCTCTTACATGGAGAAGAACGGATGAATCATAAACGAACTCATACACTCAGATCTGTTTGACCTTAAATTTTTTAGACTGGGTGCCTCGAGGGTGCTTACAGTCTTCCAGCAGTTCTAGTATTTCGTTTTTTATTTCAATTAAGAAAATCGTTATGGTTGGTCCCAAGCAGACGGGTCACTCGGGTCAGAGAAAAAAAACCTGCAAGATCCCATCGTTCTGCATCCTGCAAGCGTAAGTAGTAGCAACAGTGATGATAGGTCGCATCACCTTATCCCAAGTTCAAAGGTATATTAAGTGGTGGGTATTCGGCGATTTGGATTTCCCCAAATAAATCATTGACAATGATCTAGACATTTTATTTGTCAATTGCCAAAGCTTTCTCGGCTCATAACAGTGTCCCTGTTCTGTACAGCTGTCATTATTTTCTTCGCCATTCATGCCCTAAGATCTCTTGGAAAATCATCAACTCCCGGTGTCGATCATGCCACTGGTAGTAGTAAGCCCAGTCAGTTTTGCCTGAACGTCGTGGCTTGCGAGGGGGGATCGGTAGTAGTTGAAACGAATGGTGAGCTAATCAAACATCTCAAAGTTACTTCCTAGAACCCGGCAGGTTACCCTTGGATGTCTTGCCCTATGTATTGCCATTTTCACAGACTCGCTCGGAAGGGGGATTTGATCTCCATGAATTCAGCTTTTAGGTCATCCACATTATGAATTCACTCTGCTGAAGCTAATGCTGTGTCACCGAAAATTGTAGCCTCGGTCCAATCGGTCAATATATCGTAGTAGCACGATCAGAAGCAAGACATGCGTTCTCAACGAGGAATCGTAGGGAATCATAGGCAAGTTTTGTATTTCAAACTTTATTGTACTCGAAATGATTTCCAGCTAAATTTCATCAATTTCTATTTTGATATCTGGATATTTCCCTGTCTACAACAGACGATTAGATAGTTTAATATCGTAACCTAAGAAAGTCGGAAGTCAGGAGTAACTGAGCCCCAATATCTTCTAGACGCTGTACTGGATGTTCTGTTTCAACGACGATGATGCTGTATGATGCGTAGGGATATCTCTGGTTTACTATTCCCTATATATAACAACAAACTTAAAGTTTTATCAAAATTCATTTATGTGAGATATTGAATTATAGTATCTTTTCTCGTAAACCTTCTAATTGTGGATTTCATAAATTAATGACTTTAGAGACGTGTTACCTGCCCTGCTAGTTACAGTGCGGAATAGCTACCTAACCCTAAATCATAAATTAACCTCCCATTAGAGGGCCTTGTAGGTATTCCCGTTACTATAACTCATTATGGTCTAGAACCGTGTGCTTTTAATTTTAGCAATCAAAATTTTCAGCAAATCATTCACCGTTCACCGTGATTCAAGTAGTAATGCCTAGGTATCTGGGAAAATTCTAATGTCTTTTTGGTAATGATCTCTCCTCTTCCTTTAACCCATGCAATCTCGAAGTTTCGATTGGGGTAGGTCGAATTAGACGGATTCTCCAAACAGATACATTAATGAGAAAAGAAAAAGTTGTCAGCCACAGAAGGATCCTTACAGATATTACATTTGTAAAGTCGTATTCTGATATGTGGGAAGACAGGAGGGGAAACACACAAGACAAGGCTGATCCCAGAAAGCATGAATAGATTGTTCAAGAATCAATGCACATACCAACAATCTACAAGAGAAAGAGGAGCACGGTGAGCACCTACCAGCAGACTGACCAGGGAGGAACTCCACCTATGACCATTGACCATCAAACCTGCCAAATTGAACATCATCTCGATACAAGTCTCCATCCATCAGCTATCACCTAATGTACCTTGACCTTTGCAGCTAAGCAATAAGGAGTAAGAAATATATCTGACCCATAAACCTTCTTACTCAACTAGGACACTATATCAACAGATGCTAGGACATCCAAAAACTAAAACAAAACAACCCATGGAGTTGTTTGTGTATGATGTTTCTTCATACTAAGTAATAAACACTCGATCAAATCGCAAGTCTTCCTTCAATCGTCAATTGTCACCTTGACCTTCATCATTCGTTCGATAAGGTGCAGGAAAGTTGCAGGTTTGGAACATCCCCCTGCTCGGTATTGAATAACATGGAATGTTTCCACCGGGAAATATAGCGGCTGCAGAGCTGCACGGTTGAAGAGCGTAAGTGTAAAAAAAAAAGACCCCGGCATCGTGACGCTGGCACTTGACTTAGAACCTAGCTCGTGGGATGCAGCTCCTCCATTGCGGCGAACACTATCTTTGCATCTCCCTGTTATCCTTCTTCAGAGGTACATACTGGATAGAACCTACCACACAAAACTTCAGTCAGTCATACATGATATCAAGGGTTCCTTAGTTCTAATTCCATTACTCGCAACTCATACACCTGGAACCTTTTTGGAACTCTCCAGGGAAAAGCCACACTAGACATCTACTGATTTATAACCGTTCTTATTCTTTCTTTTGGATTGACGCAAGCAGATTCCATGTAGCATCATCGACGAGGCTATCCTAACCTCACCTACCCCCTTCTTTACCAAAGCACAAACCTCGGACGGACATTAGCTCCACCTCTGACACTGTGGTATTCTCTTGTGGGAAACACCCCTGACACTTTGATCCTGTCCCTCCATCCTCTTAGCCTTCTATGGAAATCCCATTTCGGCAGCTGTGCAGCGGCCCGTTGATCTACCTTCTTCAACTAATCTATTATACTTAAGAGTCTTCAGTCCTCATTCCATTTTTTTTAAAGTCAAAATATGTTTTATATCAACTCGAGCTAAAGTGGGATTACTATTTATCACAACGCACACACCAAATCTACATACGGTTCATTGCAAGAACTCTATTTCGATCCTTTCCCTTTTTTACCAATATCGCCATCAAATATTCCTAGTTGAATCCCAGTATCCGAAGAGTAACGTCACCAGTCGCTGTAGTCTAATTCGAGGTCAGCCTTCAGGAAACATTCGAGTTACCATTGGAACATAAAAGATTTGCATCTAAGCAAGATACCCATAAAACTTATCGTTCTGGAAGCACTATTGTTTACATAACTGAATTTTGGGTTTTGATTCTGCCATTTATAGTGGTCGATCTAGTCTTGGTCCTAATCTTGGTAAGTCTTTGATGGGCCATTGCAGCTTCCTAATTGTTTAGTTTGAACTTTGAGGGTTCGGGCATCTTGGTATAAATGTCCAGTCGGCAATTATTGCAATCGAATCATCCTTTCACACTTTCATTTCATACTTCAATCATTAATGTCAACAAGTTATACTCTCACTAATATCATATAAGAATAATCAATACCACTCTCTATTTATCTTTCTTGTTTACACAGAGCCATATCGGGCAAACACTTTGAAATGAACTTTCACACACCAGACCAATCTTACACGCAAGATACAAACCCACGGGAGACACATTCAACCATGGCTTTATTACAGAAACCTCATGTATTTTCTGGCTCGGATTGGCGTGGCCTTGAACCTGTGGAGATGAGGTCAAAACCACGCATGGCCAATGTTGGAGAATCACTTCCATCCATTCGAACAGTAAGTGAATCTTCTAGGTTGCCCTTCAGGACAGTACTGACCTCCAACTAGATGTTTGCTGGATTTGAGAGCCAGGAAAGACCTACTGAATCCGAGTACAGACATGCTACATCATTTTCTCCCATCACAACAGAAAGAAACACATCTCCTGGGTCAAACAAGAGAATGAGACTATCCGACGATTACTATGACGAGGAAAGCCAGCAGCAACGGGAGAGATATCAGTCAGTTAGCAGTGGTCGAAGCCCAATGACAGCGACCTACGGGTATCACAGTGCAAACTCTTCGCCAGTTTCCTCGAATGCCCATCGGGAGTCTAGAGTTCATTCTAGCCATGGGAGCCCTTACATTTCAAGGTCTGGACGAGAGCAACCTATTCTCTCAATCCCAGAACGCAGAGCCCAGAATCAAGATCACCACACTTCGAGACCACCATTCCATTCTCCAATCTCTGAGCCATCGAGTACGACATACCGCCCAAGCCTCCCAAGTATTAGCACACCCGACCGATCTTACGAACGAACATACTCCCAGAACCCAGCAGAACGATCACATGGCGAGTACCCTCCCATAAATGAGTACCCAAGAAGCGAGTATTCATTGGAGGCTTCCCGCTCATACCACCAACAAAAATACGCCCCTTCACGATCGGACTACGGTTACCACCAACCCAGAGACCAAGGTTACCCCCAACCTGCAACTTTCCCTCACCATCCAGGTCAAACCCCATTCACCAACAGACACCACGCAGGAAGCTACAGTCCAACTCCCTACCAAGCCCAAGAAATGGGCGACTCAAAACCTCGCAAGCGTCGAGGAAATCTCCCAAAACCAACCACAGATATCTTGACAACCTGGTTCATCAACCACCTCGAACATCCCTACCCAAATGAAGAAGAGAAGCAATTATTAATGAGACAAACGGGTCTCCAATTGAGTGAGTAGCCATCCAACCCCCCAATCATTCTCTTAAACATCATACTAACAAACATTCCCAGACCAAATCTCCAACTGGTTCATCAATGCCCGTCGTCGTAAATTGCCCGCTCTTCAAAATAGCGCTCGTGCAGAAAACGCTGCTCGATCGCATCACAACCGAATGCACTCTGCAGATGGGGGACAGAGTCCCATGAGTCTCTGCAACAGCGAGCCAGGACTAAGTCCCAGAGCCGCATCTGCATTTAACGAAGGATGGCCTTCGCGCCAGGAAGAGCGTCATAGCCAAGAACATTATTAATTCTTTCGCTTCTTTTTACTTGATTACATTTTGCAGCATTGAAGACGCACTTTTTTTTGTTACAGACATGACTTCTCTAGCCAAGGTTCTAGAGAGGGAGTTGTCGTGTGCGGTTTTCGTTCTTAGTTTTGTTTCCTTTTTTACGTTCGCACTTGTATTGCATTAATTCTACGACTTTTTGGTATCGCATTAATTATACGACTTCTTTTGTTTAAATTAGATTGGGCTTCTGGGGGTTTACATGCTTCTCACAAGTGAAAGGGAAGGTTACCACACTGAGGTATTATTAGGAACCTTGGAAATGTATGATAACATGGGTATATTGGATTTGGGATGGACAGCAACAGATACCATACTTGTACATTTGGGCTATTTGATGAAACCGAGTTGGCATGAGCACAGCGGAGTCAATCACAGACTATCAGATCACGCTCGCATGTAAAATTACACGCGAGCGTGTTTGTTAATGTTTTTTTAATTCTTACTATATTTTCGCTTCTTATAATGAATACCTACATCTACCTACATAGCTCAATTGTTAAATCGAGTATTCATTCGTATTGTACATTGTACTGCAAATTGTAAAGGCACGCACGCACACACACATTGCAGATAGAACCCCAAAAAATTTGCCTTTGGGTGAAAATCTCTCGTGCCGTGCGTCCACTTTCAATCACGCATGCATACCCACGTTGATCGCTCACTTGTTCGCTCAATCTTTCCCCTGTTCCGTTTTTCTTACTAATCTTTTCGGGTACACATTCACGTTTTCATATATATATTCGTATTCCGCTTCCAGTGTTGCACAATTTTATGCGTATCTTCCATGCTTCCGCTTTCAAAGTCGTCGATCACTTCGCCGCACTTAAGCAACCCTTGAAAATTCCTCTACTCACCGGTATTCGTGGTATTCGTCCTCCCCGCTGTTACTTTCTGAGGGTCAGGGGGTAGTAGAATGTGCTATGTACTGTTGCGTGGTTGTGGATTAGTATGTGTTCTGTTGTCTCAGATCCAAATCTGCAACACCCACCTGCATAGAAGCCATATAGAAGGGAGAGAATCATCATAAATACAATACGTCATTGAAATTTCTCAGTCAGACATCAATACATTTGGATCATTGTTATTTGAGTTTTCTATACGAGTCCTTCACCAGCATGTGATGTCTAGGCCTCAAAGTGGGAGCTTTGCTAATTGTTCGCTCACGGCATATAAGCACAGTTATACATTACTAGCACTGAGCATTAATATGTAAAAGGCAGGAAATTCTCCGACTGCAAGGGCTGGCCGAGCTTATTTTTCAGATACCATTCATATCACTGCAAAATCCCTCGCTGCATGAGAATTTTCACATGGCAGTGCTTTGTCGAGATCTACAGTAACTGGGGGTTAGACTTTCAAGGGGAAGATTTTCCTAATGAATTAACCAAAAATTGACATGACATGACAAGAAAGAAACTTACAAACGCCATTTCCATCATCGTATTAACCAGCAGGAAAAGAAAAGGTGCCACTAGAAGCACTTGGCTAACTGACAGACATCACTATTTGTCATTGAGTCGCTACTCAGTAACAGAATTCCAGTACCTGAAAAGCCACCGTCAGAATTTTTTTAGTAAAAGATAGCGTACACCTGTCGTGCACAAATCCACTGAAATGCTATTCGACAATCTTCTCTTAACCTTCTATCAATCGATAGTCTCTATTTTGAGTTTGAGATGGATGTCGTAGAATGACTAGAGTTATCTAGATGCAGAGAGGGACAAAGGTCATGTGTATTTCCTGAGCTAGACATTGTGATTTATTTCCGTGTAGAGTAAGGAGAAGGACAAGCTTCGGTACTGAGGGTCAAAATGATTGGCAACCTGTCATTTGGTGACTTTACTTAACTACCGGTGTGTCGAGTGTGTCAATCAATTTCCGATGGCAAAAAATTAGACCACATTGGTCGTAGTAGGTAGTGATAGAATTGTCAAAGTGTTCGGTAACTCGGAATACATGGCGAGATATAGTGTAAGTAGAAGTTCCGGGGTCAAGCACGAGTCACATGACATGGTCATGAGCAGATGAGCAGTATTGAAAAGCAATAAGATCATAAGACAAAAATGAATTAACCAAAATGGATGTGAGGTACAGCAATTGCAGAAACCATGTTTGTTAATGGAGAGGCTGTGGTTTGGTTGAGAGGATACTGGGACTATCTTAGTTCGTGATATAGGCGAATACTACTTTCAACTATTTCACTGGTGCTATATCAACAATGGTGGAGCGGAATAATCTCATCAGAGGGAGGGTCTCCTCGCCGAACGTTTACGATCAACTTAAACCTGCCCTTAAATTTCCCAGATTATGCGGCCAAGAAACGTTCGATACGATACCCCTAATGAAACATATATCGAGATTCAAAGATTGAAATATCTCGCACTGTCTCATTCCATGCCGGCTTGAACTGCTTTGACATGTTAAGAAAAACATTTGGCAGATCACAGACTTTTTTCTGATATCTCCGGTAACATCTCCGGTGACAGTTGGTACGATGCATGCCACGGACAGTCACTTGACATTCTTACTCCACGTACATTTTCTTTTTTGCCTATTTTCACCAACCAGGCCTTAGTTGAGAACCCGGAGCTTATTACTGTCGGGACTTGATGTAGATCACTCGACTAAGTACTGATTAGGATATTCGATATCCGCTAGTGCGTACTATTCCTTGTTTCAAAACCAGCATGACCATGACACTGGATGGTGAGCTTGCTACTGAGTTTAGTCAAAAAAAAGTTCCTTCCTCTTAGTAAACAGCGAAGCCCGAACATGCCAAGGATACAGACCGCCGCCATTGATGTCAATGGTACTCAATTGAATCACCCACGGTCAATAGAAGATGGCATTGCAAGTTGCAACGCTGATAGAAAATCCCAGTCCCTGCCCCTTACTGGGTATTAGCTAATGCCATTTGTTTTGCCATATTAGTAGCACGGTGAATTATTGAGATTTGCCTTATCCGCAAGAGTACTAGCAAATGGGGGGGCAGTAGATGAGTATGCACGCTACCGGCACAGGACCAGAATCTAAGACGGGGACTCGAAGTCTAGGTATTAAGAACCTGATCCAGCTTTCGATTGAATAAGTACATATTGGTGAGTTGTTGTTTGTCCATCAATGTGCAGAACAAAAAGAGAAGAAGAAAGGAAGGGAATTGTTTTTGCAGCGAACGAAACAAGCTTTTTCTCGAATTGTAAGTCCCCTGCGCACATCAATCTTGTCAAAATCGTATCAATCCCGAGTCCTGACCAATCAATCATAGTGGAAGATCGCCCGAAGACCCACTGGGATAATCAAGGGTCACCCGTCAAACAAGGCCCTATCTCGTCTCGAATATCACTTGTCCAGTGGCCATCACACAGACACGCAAGTGCACACGCCGCCTTTGTTCCTTATAACATGCAACTCGTATGTTTTTTGGTGGAAGAAAAACCCTAATTTGGATCTATGTCCGCCTCACAAGTCCCTAACAAGGACTGGCAATTTGGGGATGATCTTTTTGGGAATTGGCTGCCACCACACAGGTCAAATTGGTCGAAGCCACGAAATGAAGTCCTGTGCCGCGGTCCGGATCGTCTTCTTACACTTTGTTGATCGTACTTGTAACTTAGGCTTTGATGAAGGTGAGGGTGGTCTTCCTTCGGATGATAATGAGTGGTCTCTTACCGACTCGAAGGCCCGGGTGTATTTCTCCACCTGCTGGGGGCAGCTGAGCTCCAATGAAATTCAAGATTTTCAGGATCTCCTATAGATGATCTACTGTGGCTAAGAAATTGTTGTTAAAAGGTGTTCACATCCACTGATGTGAACATTCAATGGGTTGATGTTTCAAATCATGGAGTGAAGATGCGCTTATCGCCGATTGGCTGAAGGGCAAATCACGGACAGTGCCAGCATTATGCTGGGGAAAAGGGGTAGCCCTGTTTGTATGCAAGTAATGAAAACACATGAGGGATGATCGGGGGAGAGAAAAAGCAATTGTTTTTGGTTTCTGTGAGTGTTTTGTTTTTTGAGGGGGAGGGGGCAGTGAGCAGTGGGCAATTGGATGAGTAGAGAAGTATTTCCTCATCAGACCCGCTGTCCACGTGCGAATGAAAAAGCAACGATAAATGATGATATAATTGTGTAACATTCCCGTCCGAACGCACTGATGAAGTGTGCATGAAGATATATATTACGCTTTTCGGGATGATAGTGCCAATTATTGTCCGTCTTAAGTAAGGAATTTCACCCAGCGCGACGGCTCAAGTGGACATCGAATGAACTTGGGAGTCCCAAGTCAAGACGTGTGGCAGTGCACATTGTGGTGATTCGCAGCAATCCCAGGAGTCTGAACCAAGTATATCAGAATCATCAATTTGAGTGAAACAAGGTCATTATGGGAAATAAAAATAGAGCTACCAGGTTCAAGAGCTGGTATACGTCAACGATGCTGTACTTTGTTTGAAACTCGCGTTGCGAAAAGGCGAGAAATGAAATGCTTGGAAGTAACTGGACAACGGTTAATGATACTCATGAAGCGTACAATTTCTTTGAAACTACCATTGAATCCATAAGGTGGGAGACGTTGGCTAAAGATTCATCCTGCCAAGTAGCAGTAGGGAACATTTGATCTCTTTCAAACCAAACATCCATCAACCGGAGTGTTCATGCCGTTCGCAAGGTTGGAGAAGTGGCAATTAATTCGACATGAATCGAGAAACCTTATACTGTCATGGTTATGGCCGGCTTTGTAGGAAAGAGTTTGCTGGTTGAGTTTTATGTCGGTTGAGAGTGAAAAGATCAGTAGAAATACTTTTCATGAGTGGACGGGTGATAGAAGTAGAAGTAACAAAACAGGAAAGCGCGTGTAAATAGCGAAGGGAATGAATGAATTGCCATTGAACACCAGCGATCAAGATACTGTACTCTATTTCGAAAACCACTTGCAATTCTCCCAGCAAAGGTTATATGTGCGAGATGTAAAAGATATGTCGTAAAGAGCTGGGGGAGGCGACATTCTTAACCGCCGCCAGTTCTCAGCTCACATATCACAGTATACAACGCCAGTTCTTGATTGAAAACAGCTTTGAAAAGCACCACTCATTGCCTAGGTCTTTAGATGTCATTTTAGAATGAACAAAGTGCTTTGCTCGCCCTCTTTCCCCTTTAAAGAATCGATGGTTCCTCGTCCTATTCACTACCTAATGAATCTAAAACTTCAAGAAACTTCAAGAAAGTGCAAAGGAATACCCCTAAAAACTACGTGTGAACTTCACTCCACTCCTAATAAACCCCATTTTCACATCATCAACACTCACTTACTCCACCATTCACTCGGCCATTCTCTTCTGTCGTCCTCACCATCCTCACCACACCTATTCCCAAACAAAACCACTTATTGCACATCTAATCTAACCCAACCCAAGTCATCCATCCAAAACACTTCTTCTCTCTCGTCTCGATCCACCATCTTTCCAACGCGTTACTCGTAACACCTTCTACAATCCATGGCCCACAAAGCATAGGAAAATCACCAAAAGAACCATCAACAGAAGCACAAAAACGAGAATGGAGAAGCGAATATTCAAACAGTATCTGGTAGCTAGCTCAAGTAGTCAATCTCCAAACAAGGCTTCCTCAACAACTTCCTTCTTATCATTCGTTCAACCATAAATTTAATATTACCGCATTTGGAAGCTCTCAACACATCATATTAAATTACCCTCCTCAACCTTCCAACAAACCCATCCAACAAACCCAGAGTGTCTCCCCTCTTCCCTCTTGTAATACCCCTGTTATTCACTTTCCTCCCCCTACCCAACATCCCACCTCTCCAATTCCCCAAGTCCCACTAATCTTCCTCCCCTCCCTTTCTACCTCCTCTCTTCTTCCCACCACATCAAACAACCCCTCACCTCACTCTTCCTATCCGCTTCATCCACCCCAATAATACTCACATCCCCTTACACCCATCTTCGCAGTCTCCTTCTCTTCTCAAATTCTTCCCCTTCCTATCACAGCCTACCTTCCATTCACTCTCTCCCTTCCTTCGTGCCCTTCCCTCACTTCTCCCCCTCTATCTTCACCAAATATCCTCCATCCCCCATCCCCCAGTCCCGTCATATACATTCACCTCATCTTCTCCATTCCTTTGAGTTACTCCATTCACCTCACTTCTCTTATTCTTCATATCCAACCACCCACCAACCATCAAACCAAACCAAAACCAAAAACCAGTCATCTCTCCTCTATTCACATTCTTCTCCACGCCTCCACTTATCCCTTTCCACTTTGCACCCCCTCACTCTCCGACCACACTCTCTGATCACATCCATCTTTCCTAAGAATTTGCGAAGCCAACACCCAAACACCCCTTCTCCTCACTATCCTATGCCCTCACCGCGCCATCCTCTCGCTCCGGAAACTACTTCATTCTTGAGGTTGTGACGGTGAG